ACAGGTAATGCATACTCTAGACAGTGGGACAGATTATATTCTTATTCCCTTTATAAAAGCAATTTCCCAAGCCATTCTGTTATATCATATTCCTGTTCCCTACATTAGAATAACCTCCTGAACAATTCTGTTTTACATTGTTGCAGAATGACAGATGTATGGGAACTGTGAAGAAATGCATTTTTTTTCTGGGAGGTTTGAACTGAGCAAAATAACCCCACTTTGCATTTTAACAGTTCTCTGACAGGCAGGCAGAGGAGGAAGTCAGTCAGTGGCCTTCCAAGGTCACCTCAGCTACTTCTTAACAAATGCTAATATGTCTAGAAAATGGAGGTCTCTTTTTTGCCTTTTGGTGCTGTGTCCATGAGAGCACGAAACACTGGGCAGGCGGCCATTGGCCATGTGCTCTCCGACAGAGCTGGAGGGATCTTCGAGGTAATGACAACTCTGTAGAGATCTAGAACTCCTAAACTAAAGAGCCTGTCCTATTTTTAAACATCTGATAGAGTATGTATAGACGGAGGGACAGAGGATTTGCATTTTACCAATTTTTCTGCAAACCAATTTTTTCAGGTTTGTAGAAAAATCTGTTTTGTCTGTCAGCTGTTCTAAACTCTGGATTTAAGTATCCACAGATTTGGCCACACTGAAATTTAGATATATTGAATATCATATGAAAATGAGGCACTATTTCATTTCTTTCCTTTTCTCTCTTGACTTCTGTGTGCAAAAAGAACAAGTCATCCTATATAATCTGCCTTGTGATGGTGAACCATAAGACGTGTGAATGCTTTTATTGCTAATGATGGTTTATTCAGCTAGGGAACCATCTGAAGAATTTGGACTAAGACTGTCAGTATTTTACATGATGCAATAATGGAGGTTTGAGGTCTCCACTATCATTTTTGGCCACAGGCACAGCGATGAGATTAGAAAACCTTGGAGACAGAAACAATCGAAAACCTTTTGGTGCCTGAGGAAAAAACGCATGCCAATAAAAATATAATTAAATAATTATCAGCTAAATAATTGACTGCCTATGAATGGTACACCAAAGACTGCTGTCTTTGGTGAACAGTCTCACCATAAAGGATGACAGGCTGCCTTGTCTGAGAGGGACCACACAGAGAGAAACAAACTACTAAAGCTGTCTACGGATATGAGTGGATTACCCAAGTGAGTTGAGTAATTACATGAATGTGGGTGCCCCCCCATCTATAGAGCAGGCATAGGTGGGAGAGTGAGGGAGATGGGGATGGGGGAAATGATGTCATGATGTCACTTCTGGTGCAAACCCAGAAGTGAAGTTACCACATCAGCATGATGCACTAGGATCCTCCCAAACGCTATGGGATCCTACAACACCATGCCAACATGATGACATCACTTCCAGGTTTGTACCAGAAGTGACATGACAACCCCCTCATTCTCCACCCCCCTTTGGCTTTGTGAGACTAAGAGCAGAGGTGGCAATCCCATTATCCAAACCTAACATCAGGGAGTGCCATATTTTAAACTGGGGTTGCTCACTGGTTGAATTATTTTTAGCTGATTAATATACAGTTTAAAAATTAAATGGTTAAGCAGATAGCAGATAATAATGGATAGCTTTTCGGTTATTTAATAATGTATGACAATTTATCATGTAACAAGTACAAGCTATTGCTCATTGTAATAAGGAAATATTATCTTTAATATTTTCTTATCATTTCTCTTTACATTAATGTTTAGAACCAAAATAATCCCGAAGAATATACAAGTGTGTCTTAATGCTCAACTTCAACAGTTAAAATTGGTCTGTATCAATAGGTTTTAGTTGATTAATCTAAAGACATAATATTATAAAAGGATCCTGTAGATCAGACCAAAGGGCCATCTAATCCAGCATGCTGCTTTTGCCACTGATCATATGAGGTCCAGAATGAGAAAGCCATAAGTGGATGCAGAAATAGATTTATTCAATGCAGACAAATAAGGTAAAGAATCTGAAGGAGTTTTGGGCAGTAGACAGCCCTTCTTTGAGGGAACTGTGTGTCTTAAAGGTTTTGAATAAACAGGAGAACTTTTTTTTGAATGTGTATTCTCAGGCTAGCCCAATTTAATAAGATCTCAGAAGCTAAGCAGGATCAGCCCTGGCTAGTATTTGGATAGGAGATGACCCAGGAAGTTCAGGGTTGCTATGCAGAGGCAGCCAATGGCAAACAACCTCTGAATTTGCCTTGAAAACCCTATGGGATCGCTGTCACTTGGCTGAGACTGAACAGGGGAAAAATTGAGAAAGTATAAACTTAGAATAAGCAAGAAAATGAAAAAAGATCACCCATAGATTTATATAAAACATGAAGATACTGGCCTTTTGTTTTTGATCTATTTTGTCCATTTCATTTCATGCTGAGGTGACATTTTCATTTAGTTATGACTCCCTCTATCCCCCCCCCCAAAAAAAGGAAATGCAAAAAAGCACTTTCAGAATCATGTGTGAAACAGAAAACACCTTACTAGCATGTTGAAATGTCACTAAAAAAATTTTTGCTGTAATAAATTAAAATACTTCTCCAATTTTAAATTGAGTGCATCAACATCGTTCATGAGTGGCTCATTCCAGACAGAGCTTAACTTTTATGGGAGATATGAAGCAGGTAACACCTTAGTAAAAACAATGTGACATTATGCTGTGCATCATCCTGCCCTTTCACATAATTGACTTGGCCACAAATTTGGGGCAATGCACAGTAGTGATCATGTCACATGCTGGTGTTTACCTAGACACTTCAAGGAAGACAGACGAAGACGGGGACTCTCACAAAACTTTTAAACTGTGCTGTATTCTGTGCAAAGTAACTAAGCTTACATAGTTATAATGGCAGTACAATATCCACAAGTACTAAGGATCTCTGGCACCACGTGAACCAACAAGTATGTTTTGCACTGGTTGCAGTGCAGTTTAAACCAGGCACTGAGCCCCATGCACATAGGAAGTTATTTGCCTCTTCAGAATCATGTTTAAATTGAGCTTTAAACATGACACCAGGGAGGGAAAACAGGCACAGGTAGCCATTTTGCAGGGATAACAGCCCAGTTTAAACAAGATGCTGAGAGTGCAGAGTCATACTTGTGTTTTTGCCTCCACAGCATCCTGTTTAAATCAGGCATCACAGGGTTGTTGTGAGAATAAAATGGGAGTACTCTACCCTGAGTTCCCAGCTGGAAGTTGTAGACAAAAATGTGCAATGGAGACGCAGACAATGGAAGTAGTTACAGTAATATTCTGTGAGTTCCTATTGGTTGGAATTGGTTCTGATGACAAACCCAGTTTCTTTTTCCGGGTGTCTGCAAAACCTGTTGTCAAAGCCTGACACAAAAAAGAGAACTAATTAACAAACCTAACATTTGCTCCAGCGCTTACAGACATACACAAGATAGATTCAGGTGGGTAGCTGTTTTGGTCTGAAGCAGTAGAACAAAGTTCAAGTCCAGTGGCACCTTTAAGACCAACAAAGTTTTATTCAAGGTAGGAGCTTTCGTGTACACGCACACTTCGAGACCAGAGTGCTGCATGACGGAGTGAGCTCCCGTCTCTAGTTCCAGCTCCTGCCAACCTAGCAGTTCAAAAGCAAGAAACTGCAAGTAGATAAATAGGTACCACTTTGGTGGGAAGGTAACAGCGTTCCGTGCGCCTTGGTGTTGAGTCATGCCAGCCACATGACCACGTAAACGTCTCTGGACAGTGCTGGCTCTTCGGCTTTGAAACGGAGATGAGCACCACAACCCTAGAGTCGGACTCGACTGGCTTTCGAGCAAGGGAACCTTTACCTTTACATATAGGTAGAAGGTGAACAGCAAACTAGCATAAGCATAATAAACGGTGTTTAACAGATGCAAGGACCAAACTGGAACAACAATATGGTCACCATTTGTTTGGGTTTAATGCCAGGGGAAAGCATAGTAAAGGAAATAAATATATAAAAATCGAAGATAGACAGATCTAGCTTTCTTAATTATGGAATACTGGGAGTAATTAACTGCTGTTCTGCTCCATTCGTCTCCTCTCAAGGGTGGAGATCATTTTTAGCATCCTTTTCTTTGAGGTGGGGTGATTCGCAGATAATGCATTCCTTCCAACCTACCATTCTAAATTACACTATTATTCATTACCTTTTAAAATTACTATTCCAAATAAAATAAAGAGGATGTATAGCCCTTGACAGTTATTCAGCGTTTTCTCTGCACATGGATAAAAATCAGAAAATACCCTCTAGCCTACAGCGGGGGCAGAAAATGAACCACACTCAGCTCTCTGCTACCCTCCTGCCTTTTTAGGAAAGCCTCTGAGTCTGCGCATTGCTTGACCCCTGCATAGAACCCTAGGCGGGTGACCCACCGTTGCGTATGTCACGCGCTTGAGATCTCAGGCGCCTAGCGGGGGGGGAGGTATCTTTGTCCACCAATAGACGAGGAGGTAGCTTTTCCGGTTTCAGCCTGATTGGAGTCGGTAGCTGTCGTTCCATAGCAGTGGGGCGGGTTATCTTGCGGTGAAAGTTTGGAGAGTTGCAGCCCGGTGCCGAGTTCTGTGGAGTCCTTTACAGAAAACAAAAGCAGGAAAGACGAGGATCGGCTGCTGTGCAAAGGGCTGTTGGGAAGTGGGTTCGGTGGACGGATCCACACCGGTCTCGCGTACAGTCTCTGCCTCTTTCTTGTGGCCTGTAGGGAGGAGGGCCCTGACGTGGCAGCTGGGGTCCCCTCCCGACCCAGCAAGAACCCCTCGGTTTTCCTCCAGCTCATCTGTGCCGTCTTAGCATTCATAGGTAACAACCGGCTGGGCGTTTTTACCCGCCCCAGGTTTCCCTCCTCCATGGGCCTCTGTCTTGCTCTGCTCTGCCTTTAACAGCTACTGGATGGGCAGCAGTTCAACGCGTGTCGCATGATGTGTTGACGGGGAATGCTTAAAGTGTAAGGGCGGGAGGGAGGTCGCAGCCGTGCTTTGGAGGCTGTAACTTTGTAGATCTCACGATGGTATAACACTGTCATGGGGAGGAGGCAGGTTTGCCAACTGTGAAATGGGAAATTCCTGGAGATTTGGGGGGTAGAGTTGCCGGCTTTGGAAATGCCGGAGGATTTTGGGGTGGAGTAGGGTTGTCAGCTGTGGGATGGGATTCCTGGAGATTTGGGGGGAGGGACCTCGGCAAGGTATAATGCAATGGAGTCCGCCACCCTCCAAAGGAGCCATTTTCTCCAGGGTAATGGATCTCTGACGTCTGGAGGTGAGCTGTAATTCCACGAGATCTCCAGCCACCACCTGGAGGCTGGCAACTGTAGGGTGGAGGTTGGGGAGGGGGAAGGACCTCCGTGGGGTAGAGTTCCATACAGGCCAACCATCCAAAGCAATCCTTTTCTCCAGGGGGACTGATCTCAGTAGTCTGGAGATCAGCTGTAATTCAGAGAGATCTTCAGGCCCCACCTGGAGGTTGGTAACCCTAGGAAGAAGGCTGGACTCCTGTGCCTTTGCTATTGCAGCCTGCAGCTTTTCTCATTAATAGTTCCCCATGTTAAGACTAGTGCATGTGTTGAATTTCTAGCTGTTGCACAGTCATTGAATTCACAAAGGGCGGAAAGGCAAATTGTGGAGAGTGTGTCCATTCCAGAGTGTGTCGAGGAGAGTCCAGAGTGTCCAGAGTCCATTCCAGAGTGTGTCGAGGAGAGTGTGTCCATTACAGAGGAGGTGTGGAGCATACCGATACACAGAACTGGCTTGTTCCCATCAGTGTGTTCCAACAGTGTGTCTCTCTTGAGTGTACAACCCACAGAACTTCTTCAGTGCCAGGGTAATGCAGGAGGCATGTGTTGTGTCTCTGCAGGTATGTCCCAGAAAAACCAAGCACAGAGTCTTCGGGAAGAACTGACCTGTGCCATCTGCTATGATCTTTTCCGGAACCCGGTCATGTTGGAATGCATGCACCATTTTTGCAAGGAGTGCATCCAGGGCTATTGGGACAGATGCTCACGAGTTGCCACCTGTCCCCAGTGTCGGCAAGAGATTCCCACGCGGTCCTTCCGCCCCCACTACCTTGTTGCTGGAGTTGTGGAAACGGTTCGGAAGGCCTCCTCTGAGGAGCACAGAAGAAGAATGCAGGCAAGTGCCTTTACAGCAGTGACCTTCTTGCTTTTGCATGGCAGTTTGAGGGTGTTGCTCATTTTTATTGATTCCGGCAGTGTGACTTATTAATTTAATTGTGGGTCTTGGTACCCTTTATATGGCTGTTAGGCAATAATGCCCAGATGGGTAAGCTTGAAGTAGAGGCAGTGTGTACATTTGTAGGGGGTTGTAGGAGGCTTGCAGC